AAAAAAAAAAGAAAAAAAAAAAAAGAATGGCCTTCAGTGAGACAGAGTCTGGAAGTGCCTGAAACACTGGGACCATCAGGAGGAATTGGCTGTAGAGTCTCCAGTATCTCGGAGCAACCAAGCAGAAGACTGTTGACCTACGTTCAGAGGTCTCCTTGGTCCAGGGTCAACCATCTTTCCCCACTGCTATAGAAGACTTGGTCTCTTCCTGGAAGTTCTATTTCTGTCTCTTCTTATTTGCCTTCCTCTCCACCCAATGCACACAGCAGCCTCTGCAATGAAATAAGGGGCTGATGTACTAGCTGAAAGTAGGAAAAGGATAAAAGGACCACAATCTGCTCTGACTTCCCCACCATGGCTCATAGTTCCTTTAAAAGGGAAGTAGGCTTGGGCCTAGTGTTGACTTCTGAAGGGGGATTTTGGGATGTGGGAGCCTCCTTGCTGCAGATTCACTGTGCCCCTCCCCCTAGTTCGGTCCTAGACTGCTTCGGGACATCTCACTCCCTTCTTCTGTCAGCCTTTGAGATATAGAGGAAGCAGGAAATAGTGTGCCCTGCCCATCTTTACAGGAATCCCAGCTAACTTAAGACAGGTGGAACTCTCAGGTCCTGATTTTAACTCACTACTCACCTGCTAAGAATCCCCAGGAAAGTAGACCCTTGTTTCCCAAGCACATCCTCCTCTAGCTTCTCTGTTCTGCTATGTATACAGACAATGAGAGGAGATGGCACGTGTGGCCTTGGGGAAGTGGAGTGGGAAAGAAGTATGTCTCGTGGCTGGCCTGCTCCGGTGCCACAGACATTCCTGAGCAGGATGCTCAGATCTGGTCTTATTTGACCACCCCTTCTGGTTTTTCCATCTCTGCCCCTGCTTGCTGTCAGAGACCTGTTTGCTTTTCTCAACACCTGCCCAGGTGTTGCCCTGAGGCCTGTCTTCCTGGACACCCACAGGATGTCTCTGGGAAAGTCTCTTATTGTAATCCTCCCTGATCCAGTCCTCACCCTGAAAGGTCAACTCCAGCCCAGATTTCCAGGGTTTCCTGCAGCCTTGTGCCTAGAGCTTGTATCTGGAAATTTCAGTCTTCTTAATGTCTTGGTTCCATTTCTTCCTGGCTCTATTTTCTCCCCTGCTGCTATTCTCCTGGAACAAAAGGCAGCTCAGGCCAGAACACTTGGAGGCAGGTGGGGGTCAGTATATGAGGCTGATGGAGGTGAGAGATAGAAGAGGCAGGCTGGAAGGACAAGGAAGCGGTATTAGCAGGGCCACTGACATTCAAGACCTACGGTGATTGCTCCAAAACAAAATTGGTTTTTAATGTGGGAGAGGCGGTCTCATGACTCACCTCCAGAATATCAGGGATCAATGAGCCCCTGCCCCAAGGATACAGGTGGAAGGGGCTGCATTTTTGAGAAGCAGTAAAAACCTGTCGACACTCCTCCCACCCCCAAGCAGGGCAGCGCTTCCTGGACCATGCCCTTTTTCATCCCCAGCAGACCAGGAAGGTGTGGGTGGCAGCTTGGTTGATGGCGTTTGACTTCAGGGGCAGATACTCCCAGCCAGGACGAACAGGCTGGGCCTGAATTAGGCCAAAGGAGGAAGAAGAGCTACTCACTGTCTGCCCTTGCCACATCCTGCCCACTCCTGACCTCAGGGCCACCCTGATTTTTGGGCTGGTTCCACGTCACCAGCCTCCAACATCTCCCAGAATCCTGTGCATGCCTGTGTGTCAGAGGCTCCCTGCCTGAGCTGAATCTTTGAGAGGCTTTGTGGGTGAAGAAAGTATGTGTGTAGGAAATGGCTACTCTGACCCAAGTGCCAGCTCAGGGCTTTGCTGAGCCGAGGGTGGGGCAATGTGAGGCTCCTGGATATATTCTGCATAGGGACTGTTATTATCTTTCCTGTCTGTCTCTTATCCTACCACTTGTAAAACCCCATACCTCCTAGATCCTCTTATAGTTAAAAAGAGAGGGTGCATGTGTGCTCAGAAGTGGAGATATTTTGAGGTGCTTATAGTGGCAGCCAGAGGGACTTAGCTGAACTTTATAAACTTTTTCTTAAATAATAATATAGACATCATTGCATGTTCATATAAGTCACAAATGAGAAGGGTGTGAATGAACATGAAACAAGTTCATACTGGACATAAAAGGCAATATTCTAGATTTAATTATATGTAATATTATTTTTTGGAAAACAACTGAAGGAGAAGAATAAAGAGCAAGAAATACTTCAAAAAAAAAAAAATAATAATAATAATAATATAGACAAGCAATATGCCTTACAAACAATTCAGAAAATACGATTACTTGGATACACTTGGAGTATTTTCTTTTGGATTTTTTCACCCTCCGGTACATACACATTACATATACCTACTTGGAGAATAAAGATATTCCTAGAGCTGGGCAGCTTGGAAGTAGGGTGAGGCGGGTGTTTTGGAGTGAAGATGGAATCTGAGGCTGTGTTCTGAGAGGCGCTGCAAAAATTCGCAGGATAGGGGGGTAGAGGGAAATTCTTCCCCTTTCTGGAGCTGCTTATCCAGTTTGGTAGGAAGGAAGCAGAGCAAGGCTGGACTGCAGGGCGCTGGAGCCCTGTGGTATGTACCAGCCGTGTCCAAGAGTAACAGTTCCCAAGTTCCTCCAGGGAAGATGGCGTTGACTGGGACTGCCTTCTCACTGGGGGCTTGCAGGCGAGAAGGGATTCAGTATTTGGAAGGGGCTGGCTCCTCCTATGGCTGCCTGGAAGCTTAGTCACTGTTACTGAGATGATGGGTGGGGGGGAGACAGTATCACCTCTCCTTCATTAGTCCTTGGAGAGGGGCTTTTCTAGGGACAGTCCTAGGTCAGGAGCTCAGGCAAGTGTTATGCTCCAGCTCTAACGAAATGAGCCCACCCCAAGTTCCTGTTAGGACTTCCCCGCCCCCCCACCCCCCATACACACAAACAAAACTCTGACAAGAAAAGAGAGGTCTCTGCCTTATAGGGCTGCCCAGTGTTCAGACTCCTCTGGTCTCTAACCCTGACCCCAATCCCCTCTAATAGCCTTGCTGTTTATTTTTTATTGTGGTAAAAAACATACCATAAAATTTACCATCTTAACCATTTTTTAGTGTTCTGTTCAGTAGTGCTAAGTATATTTACATTATTGTATAATATCTCCAGAACTCTTCATCTTCCCCAACTGAAACTCTGAATCTATTAAACAGTAACTCCTTTTCTGTCTCCCCTAGCCTCTGGTAACCACCATCTTACTTTCCATCTCAGTAAATTCCACTACTTCAGATACCTTGTGGAACCATACAGTGTTTGTCTTTTGGTGAATGGATTATTTAGTATGATGTCCTCAAGTTGCATCCATGTTATAGCATGTGGCAGGATTTCTTTCCTTTTTAAGGCTAAGTAAGATTCCATTGCATGTATATATCACATTTTATTTATCCATTAATTCCTCGATGAACATTTGGGTTGCTTCCACCTCTTGGCTATTGTGGATAGTACTACTGTGAACATGAGTGTACAAATATGTCTTCAAGACTCTGCTTTCAATTCTTTTGGATAAATACCCAGAAGTGGGACTGCTGTATCATTTTTACTTTTTTTTTGAAGAACTGCTTTTTATAGCAGTTGCACCATTTTACAATCCCACTAACAGTGCACAAGGGTTCCAATCTCCACATCCTTACTAACACTTATTATTTTCTGGAGTTTTATTGATAGGAGCCATCCTAATGGGTGTGAGGTGATATCTCACTGTGGTTTTGATTTGCAGCCTTGTCCGTCTTTAACAACAGTGTCAGTGTTAGAATTGCTTTTAGAGACCACCGGATCTGGCCCTGAATTGAGCATTTTACAGTCAGGAGCTTGAGGCCCTTGTGACTTGTCTAAGGTGTCCGGTTGTGAGGAGGCATGTTGGGGAGAAAGCATAAGGCCTCTGCCTCCGAGCTCTTGAGGGAGACCCAAGGCTCTCAGTCCAGTGCCCTTGCCCATTATAGCACTCAGCCTCCCAACCCTGAAACCTTGATCAACCCACACATATCTGCCTGACCACCCACATTCCTCCTTCTCCAAATGTGAAGGTTTCCATTCTTAAATAAAAGAACCCATGTTGCTTGTAAGGGCCAGGAAGAGAAGTGCAATCCAGCCTTTTTTGCAAGTCTTCAGTTTCAAGTGCAACTAAAGAAGCTTTTAAATAGTCAATCCCGGCTCCTACGTTTTTCTTTCTCAGTACTAACTAGTACAATACTCTCTACACCTTACTTTCCTCACTTACAAAAATGAATATAAAAGTAGGCCCTTCCTCACTAGGTTATTGAGATGATTAAATGAAAAAATACATGTCGAACACATAGCCTAGCACATAGTCAGTAGTTAATAGATGTTAACTGAAGAAACTGGTAGGTAAGCCAGGACTAATTGTCTTAAGACTAGATCCCATGTCTCCCAACTTCCAGTCCGAGGCTCTTCCTACAGGGGTACACTTGTTTCTCCTAGCTGAGAGATTGGGGAAGGTATGTGGGGTAAGGGATTGCAAAGGAGGAATTAAAAGCCTCTTGCGGGCCAGCATTTAGAGGTTTGGGGGCTTCAGTCTTGATTCAGAGTCTGTTCAGGAGAGTTGCTGTGGCTCAGGCTCAGAGCCCTTAGAGATAGAAACCAAACAAACTCTGTAATCTCCTCAGCCTCAGCCCAGCCCCGTGGAGCTCAGTTCTCCACAGCTGAGACAACACCACCCAAGGCTGAGGCCACAGAGAAAAAAGGCAAATGGGTTAGGGGTTGCAATTTGAGGGGGGATCACAAAGGAGTTATGGAGTCTAAGGCAGCCCAAGGCAGCTCAGCTGTGTGGTTCCCCACTAATCTCCCCGTTCCTTCTGGCTCCAGGAAAGCAGACAGAGGAAGTAGAACCAGGCTCGGGGTCTCCTGACTGGTAGAGACCCTCTTATCTCCCCTGATCCAGGTGGCAGGAACGGGGGTGGTGGTGTTTGGAGAATCGTGGGTTTGGTTTGGTTCCAGGGTTGTTGGAGGAAAGGTGGCTGGCATGCTCACTCCCTGCTGATTTCATTTCTTCCTCAACCCCCTGATCTTGAATTATCTATTGAACCTCAATGCCAGCCCTTTAGGGCACTGAAATTCCTGGGTTCTGTTTTCACCTTGTAGCACTGGGAAGTCTTCCAGAAGGTGACAGAGGTCTTCATCCTAGTGCCTGCACTGCTAGGACTCAAAGGAAACCTGGAAATGACCCTGGCATCAAGACTCTCTACCGCAGTGAGTGTCCTGGCTAGGGAGAAGGGGACAGAGGACTCTGAGCCGCATAGAGACTGGGAGATCACTATAGGCCCTCCTTGACTGCCCAGGCCTGGAGTGTGGGACTGCGGTGGGAAGGGAGGGCCTGACTGGGCAGGTGTAGGGAGATCCCAGGCTGGGTATCCTGCTCCTGGGCAGGGGCTTCCTGCCCAGAGTAGTTCCCAGGCTTGGTTTCTGGATGTCCCAGCCGTCCCTGGACTCTTGCCCCAACCCCTGCTTCGCAACTGCCTCGTGACTGTTTGTGCAGCTTTGACAGGCGGGCATCACGCTGGTTCCTCCAGCCGCACAGATGGGGGCCTTCTCTGATCTTTGGCCCTACTCTGCAGCTGGGCAGGAGCAGAGCCAGGCCCTCTAAGTCCCCTCCCCCACCCATTCCCTTTCCCTGGGGCAGCTTGTTTCTTAAGGGAATAGACAGGGAGGGGCTACTCATCACTCCCACCCCCCACAACCCCTTAGATCAGCCATGGTGGTTCAGCAACTGAACCAGACACTGTGCCCTGGGACGGAGGTGGGAGGTGATGGGACTCAAGAAGCCTGGGATGTCCCCGCATGGCCAAGAATCTGCCCTTGCCCTCCTCCTGGCCCATGCCACCCACTCCTTCCCAAATGCTCCTGCAGGCTCAGTCCTGTACTAGCAACTGACCTTTCCCTCTCTGGGAGAGCAGGCTGGCTTCAGAGCCAGGGACTGAGTCCTTCAGACCCATGAGGGCAGGGGCAGGACAGAAATGGATCTGCCTCTGCTCAGTGGGCATCCTGAGAGGAAGGGAGAAGAGGAGGCTGCCTTGAGAGCCCCTTTCCTGCCCCCACCCCAGTCCCCCAATCCTACGTCACTTTTCCAGTACATTCGTGTCCCAGTCTCAGATTATTAGGCCACATGCACCATCTCCTGATCCAGGCAGGAGCCTAACAGAGGGAGTTGCAGGCCTTTTCCAGCCTGGAGCTGCAGACCCTTGCCCTTCCTCTCCCAGGCCAACATCGGACACATGGACACACCCAAGGAGCTCTGGCGGATGATCACCGGGAATATGGCCCTCATCCAGGTAAGAAGCCAGGGATCAGAGAGAGTGGCTGAGTTTCTCCCTTAGTCAGGAATCTCTAAAAGGCTCCCAAGTGAATCTCCAGCATCCTGCTGAGCTAGCGTCTCCCAAAGTAACTCTAGGAGGTAACCAGGTTACCCAGGAATACAGCCAAGATAGGAGCATCTCTCATGTCAGTTCTTGGTTTCTGGTGGTGCCAAGGAACCAAGACCTTTGGGACCCCACAGATCCTGGCAATACAAGCAGGACTCAGGCGTGCTGAAGAGTCCTTTGCCACTGTCCCATCTCCCCATGAGGACACACAGGTTCTGACGGGGAGTCTTCCCCCTTGAGTCCTAGGCCTTGACTCTGGAGAGGAGTCTTCAGCTCTTTTGAACCTCTCCCATCCCCAGAGGCATGCTCATTCAGCCAGTAACATGGTCTAGGCTCCCGCAGGGTGCACTGCCTAGTACTAGTATCTGATGTGAACCTAAATAAATAAAGACTTCCAGCCTGGGAGGACTGGACAGTCCAGTCCAGCCTGCCTCCTGGGGCTGCTGAGGGCCAGAAAGAGGTCTGCCCAACTGCTCAGTGACCTCAGCTAAGAAGCTTGCTGCTCCCAAGGCTATCCAAGTTACCGCTCCTCTCCCCAGGTGCAGGCCACAGTGGTGGGCTTCCTGGCATCCATAGCAGCTGTCGTTTTTGGCTGGATCCCTGATGGCCACTTCAGTATCCCGCATGCCTTCTTGCTCTGTGCTAGCAGTGTGGCCACAGCCTTCATTGCCTCCCTGGTACTGGGTAAGAAAGGGAGGGTACAGGAGGAATGCTGCCCCCAAGGTGTTGACTGCATCTGATACCTCCACTCTCTCTTTGTTGATACCCCTTTATCTCTTCCTACCTTCCTTCTTCCCCAGGTATGATCATGATTGGAGTCATCATTGGCTCTCGCAAGATTGGGATCAACCCAGACAATGTGGCTACACCCATCGCTGCTAGCCTGGGCGACCTCATCACCTTGGCGCTGCTCTCAGGCATCAGCTGGGGACTCTACCTGGAACTGAGTGAGCCACCAAGAGTGTGGCTTGGGTGGACTCCTGGGTGGGGTTGGAAGAGATGAAAGTAGTTTGCAGATATGCAAGTTCTTCCATGTTCTTAACTATTTTGTTCAAACACAAGTTGTAATAACTCCTGATCTTAGAGAGGTAACGCTAAGTACTGATCTCAGATCGCTGCAGGCATCAGGGGCAGAAAAGAGCATCGGAAATAGATTCCTGTTTGATCTTGAAGATTCTTGCTTCCCTGGAAGGGGTGAGGTGGAAAGGGCAAAGGAAAGGTACTGAAGGCTGGAACCTGCTTGAAAAATGAAGAAGGGGGTGGGAAATAGGAATTTCTAGGATTAAATCAAAGGACCTAGAGTCTGGTCTCTGCCCCTAATAAGTTCAGTGCCCAGGGAGCTCTCTACCTTGGTTTCCTCATCTGTAAAATGAAAAAGGCTGTCCCCACCTACCTCCTGGGCTGACAGTGAAGATAAAACGACATAATATGTTTGCAGGCGTTTAGTGTGGCATTGCTGGTGTTCTGTTGGGACATTTTTAGGTTGTGCCAGGGGAGGCTGGGAGCAGGAAACCACAGTGCTCATCTCCCTCTGATCTCTGCCCTCTCAGATCACTGGCGATACATCTACCCTCTGGTGTGTGCCTTCTTTGTGGCCCTGCTGCCTGTCTGGGTGGTGCTGGCCCGACGGAGCCCAGCTACAAGGGAGGTGTTGTACTCGGGCTGGGAGCCTGTCATCATTGCCATGGCCATCAGCAGGTAGGCTCAGGCCCTGAATATAGACTCCTACCCCACTCCCACCCTGCCACAGATGCCCTTCTAAATTTTGGAGAGAAGGGATATGGGTCAGACCCTAGAAATGTATTCAATAGTGTATCAGTCACATATCCTGTTGAAAGTGACAAAAACCATCTGAACTGTGTTACATTCCAAAGCAGAACGCATTAGCCTAAAGAACTAAAAAGGTACAACTGGATTCAGAGACATATATAAGATCATGGCCCCAGTACTCCCCATCTCTTGACTCTGCTTTTCCTATGATGGTCTACAGTTCAGGTTTATGCTTTTCTTACTTCTACCAATTCCAGTGGGAAGATAATCTCTTCCCCCCTCAACTGTTCCACAAAGCCCCAGAGTAGAATTTCATTGGTTCTCATCTGGTCACATGACTGTCTTTGAACCAATCACTAAGGCCTCTGGGATACACAGTACTCTGATTGGATGGCCTGGAGCCTAACCATCACTGAAGTAATGCCACCCAAACCTCAGTGAAACCTTGAGAGAAGTGGTTCCCTGAGGAGGAGCCAGTGCTGTTACCAGAAAGGGAAGTAAATGCCAAACAGGCAGAACAGTAGAGATCCTCACAGGCAGTTAGTCCTGTGGGTGGCTCCTCTAGCCAACTTGGAGGGCAGATACGGGAGGTGGTTGCCTGACCCAGCACCCCTCACTTGTTCTGGGGTCACTGTCCCAAGTCAGAATGCTATGAAGAGCAATTGGTCCTATCAGGGGAGGCAAGGACTGGACAGTGAGAAATTCTTGGACACTACCTGCTTCCCTTCATCCCCAAGGTTGGATGGGCCTGTACCTCTCATCCCAGAGACAAGAGCAGAACCCTTCAATGGTCTTTGTGTCATTTTGTCTTTGTGTCTCTAGTGTGGGAGGCCTTATCTTGGACAAGACTGTCTCAGACCCCAACTTTGCAGGGATGGCTGTCTTCACACCTGTGATTAATGGTGAGGTCTGGGCATCAGCTGCCAAGGGAGAAAGGAGAGAGACAGGAGAAGAAGATTTAGGGGGCTGGTTTCTGTATCAGTTAGGGTTCCAGCAGGCAAGAGAATCCCACTCAGATAGTTCAAGACTTTAATAAAAGGTCTATTTACAGAGGTGGGAACAGGGAAATGGACCAATAAGGGATGTTGAGGCACCCAGAGATTAGCAACAACAGAAACATCTAATCCTGAAGGATCAATGGGAGTATCTTACTCTATTATCTGTTGATAGAACAGAATACCTGAAATTGGATAATTTATAAAGAAAAGATATGTTTTTCTTTTTTTCGGTCGAAGTCTCACTCTGTCACCCAGGCTGGAGTGTAGTGGCACACTCATGGCCACCGCAGCCTCAACCTGCTGGCATTAGGTGATCCTTCCACCTCAGCCTTCCAGGTAGCTGGACCTACAGGCATGTGCCACTACACCCAGCTAATTTTTTTATTTATCATAGAGACGTGGTCTCGCCAAGTTGCCCAGGCTGGTCTCAAACCCTTGGACTCAGGCAATTCTCTCACTTCTGCCTCCCAAAGTGCCAGGAATACAGGCATGAGATACCACACCCAGCTGAAAAGATGTCTATTTAGCTCATGGTTCTGGAGACTGGGAAGTTGAAGATTGGGTGGCTGCATCTAGCAAGGGTCTTATGCTGCATCCAGATGTCCAAATGGGCAAATAGAAGGGGAACTGGGTGCATACAAAAAGGACAAAACAGGAGAGACAAACCTCATTCATAGCAATACACTCTCATAGGAACTAATCTGTTCCCCCAAAAACTAACCCAGTTTCTCAAGCAATACATTAATTCATTTTAATGACCTGTTCACTTCTTAAAAGCACCACCTCCCAACACCACCACATTAGGGACCAAGCCTCAACATGAGTTTTGGTGAGGACAACCAAATTCAAACCAGAACAGGGAGAAAATAGCATTGCGAGAGCCCAGTGAAAGCTTTGTGTCTGCCCCCCAGCCAAGGGAAACCACTGCCAAAAGGTAAGGAGGGCTCAGGAAAGAAATGCCTGACCTCTTTTCCCCCACACTCTCTGATTGCCTGCTTATGCCTCGCACGGAACAAACCCAAGTGGAAGCAGCCAAGGGAGGTTGGGTGATATGGTCTATAGAGGTCAGCCCCAGGGCTCAGAGCAAGGCAGAGAAGAACAGGGACTAACTTGGGGTGTGAGGACATAACAGTAGACAGTACAGTTCCCAAGAGATACCAGATTGCAGAGAGTGGAGCTCAAACCTGATTCTTGAATCTGGTTATTGGAACAAGCACATGAGCATGGAGTACTTGGGTCTGCTCAGAGCATTGGAGATGGGGTGAGTCAAGGCCAGGCCTTGTCCCGCTGGCCACGTAGGAAGGCAGGTATACATGCTGTACTGGTGGAGAAGTCAGGCTCTGAGGATGCAGATCCACCTGTGTCCTTTTCTGCGCTGTCACAGTCATGCCAGGGACACATGCGACTGCCACATCTCCATAGAGGGGAGGATGGAGGAACCTGAAGGACTCCCTGGAAACAGGGATGTCTTTGTCTTCCTTCTTAGTGTCTTACTCTTCTCTTAGGGGCTGATAATGGGTGATGCCCACAAGACCCTAAGTGAAGACAGAGGACAATGCCTGTAACAGATAAAAGACAAAGAACAAGAAGATCATTTCCTCCCCTCTGCCTGTGTCTAAGCTCCTATGTGTCTCTGCAGGTGTTGGGGGCAATCTGGTGGCCGTGCAGGCCAGCCGCATCTCCACCTTCCTGCACATGAATGGGATGCCGGGGGAGAACTCTGAGCAAGCTCCTCGCCGCTGCCCCAGTCCTTGTACCACCTTCTTCAGTCCTGGTAATAGCAGATTCTCAACCTCCCAGCCCCATGCCAGCCCTGGAGGGAGGGGTCCTGCAATCAGTGAGCCTCTCTGAACAGACAGCTGGATCCTGAACCCACAGGCTCTCCTTCTCTTCTGGGCTGTGCCAGCTGTTCTGGAGGGCAGAGCCCAGGCAGGAAGGTTGTCTTCTCCTGGGACCCCCTGGGGGCTGGGACCAGGGACTAAAGAGTTAGAGAGGAGTGTGGTGTAATCCCTCCTGACTTTGAAAGGCCTTCTGGGGCCAGAAGTCCCCTCCTCCTCATACCCTCTCTTCCTGGTCCCAGATGTGAATTCTCGCTCGGCCCGGGTCCTCTTCCTTCTCGTGGTCCCAGGACACCTGGTGTTTCTCTATACCATCAGCTGTATGCAGGGTGGGCACACCACCCTCACACTCATCTTCATCATCTTCTATATGACAGCTGCACTGCTCCAGGTATGGACTGGCAAGAGCAGGGGCACGGGGAGGGGCTGGAATGCCGACAGGGATGGGTGAGGAGGCCCAGGCTTGGTCCATGGGGTGGCTGATAAACACTCAACAGGTGATCAGCAGAATACACCGTAGTTCTAGTAGAGTCACTAACATACTGTGTGACTTTGACCCAGTTGTTTTACTTCTCTGAGTCTCAGTGATACATTTATAAATTAAGAAGAATGGACTGAAGGAAGGTGGTGGTTTTAAGGTAGGTGGTTGCAGGATGCCGAGTAGGTGGACATGGGGCATCACCCCCAATGGTCTGGCCGTAGAGCTCCCCTTGGATCTGTTATGCACACTGGGATTCCCCAGAAAATCACATTTGTATGAAAGCTTCCACAGCTTGAAAGCATGTAAAAATTCCTGCACTGTGTAATCCATAGAATCCCATCCAGCCCTGCTATTCTGTAATACTGTGATACTTTCTTTCTTCTTGTAGCAGTCCAGTTTTAAAATTTCTTATTCTGAAATAAATACAGATTCACAAGACGTTTCAAGAAAAAAAAAGTGCAGAAATCTCATATACTCTTCATCCAATTTTCCTCCATGGTCACATCTTACATTGCTCTAGGATAATGTCAAAACCAGGAAACTGGCACTGGTGCAGTCCACAAAGGGCTTATTTGGATTACATTGGTTTTATATGCACTCATTTGTATGTGTGTATGTTTAGTTCTGTGCAGTTTTATCACAGTGTAAATTCATGTGACTACCACCATAATCAAGATACGGAAAACAATTTTATCACCATAAGGCTTCCTTAAGCTATCCATTTACGGCCACACCCACCTTTATTGTTATCTTTTAAATTTTTATAGATTTGTTTTTTGAATTGTGTGAATAGTTTTGAATAGTTCTTTGAGGAACAGTCACATAATTCAAAGATGTTTTAAGAGTCATAGTGAAACCTCATTGAAAAGCCTTCCTTTCTGCCCTCTTCTTCCAGTCAGCCCTTTCCCTCCTTCACAGGCCATCAGTATTGTCTACTTCTTGCATATTCTTCAAGTTTATATTTATACAAGCAAACATTTATGTTTTTCTTGTTTCCTTCTTATACACATGTGTATACTGTGCACACTGACTCTAATCTGCTGTTATCGCTTGTTTATCTTGAAGATCATTCTATATCAGCATGTAAAGATAAGAACACCCTGATATATATTTTTTATTTTGAGTTGGAGTCTCTCTCTGTTGCCCAGGCTGGAATGCAGTGGCATGCTCACAGCCACCACAGCCTCAACCTGCTGGGCTCAGGTGATCCTTCCACCTCAGCCTTCCAAATAGCTGGAACTACAGGAGAAAGCTACCACGCCTAGCTAATTTTTTTATTTATTATAGAGACGAGGTCTTGCCAAGTTGCCCAGGCTGGTCTTGAACCCCGGGCTTAAGCAAGCCTCTCACCTCAGCCTCCCAAAGTGCTGGGAATACAGGCTTGAGCCACCTCGCCCGGGCTGCAGGCTGATTTTTTATGGCTGCACCTTTTTCTATTATGGAGATAGGCCATAATTGTATTTAGCCAGTGCCACAGTGATAAACACTTGTCCCTCCAACCCCCTCGCCCCAACTAGAAAGGTTGTGTTAGGACATCTTGGCAAGCATTGGCCTGAGAACGAACCATATGCTGTTACCCTGCAGCTATTAGCCCCGCTCCCTTGTTCCATGCAGCACCTGTGGGAAGGTGCAGGGCTGGTGTGCCAAGGATCTGTGGTGGAGGTTTTCAGCTCATCCCTTGACCTGAGTTGGGAAGGATAAATCTTGGCTCCATGACCTACCACAAATAACCCTGGTGACAGTGACACTCCCGCCTTCACTCTCTTTTCTAAATCTGCGGAGCGCCAGAGTGTGGCACTTGATCTCCTGTAAAGATTCTTCCTGATCTCTTTGCCACCTTCTCCCAGGCGTGTGTCCTGGGGCCTGCTCAATAAGACTGGAATGTGAGGACAGCTGCTGCCATTCTCTTCCTGGGGCATGTCCCCAAGGCCTCCTGGTCACACTTTTTATTTGTGACACTACTGCAGCTGCTGGTAAGAGTATGAAGTTATAGGGGCTGGCCTCACTGAGGTCCAGGGCCATGGGAGTACAAGGCAGCTGTGCGCAGGGCAAGGGGGAGTGGGAATGGTTCTGGACTATAACCTCTGGCTTCCTTAGAGACAGGACAGGCCAAGCAAGTTTACCTAAAAATAGGTATCAATTCTGGTTTCTGGATCCATTAAGGGTCCTGGTTCCTGCATCTGAGTCCCTGAAGGCAGAATTTTCATACTGCGGTATTTTCAAAGTATGGTCAAGAGTAGAATCTTCCAAATGACTGTGTTGGAGCTTAACCATTAGAAACCGTCTCATTCTCACACAGATGCAGTCATTTTGGGAGCCCAAATGTCAGGCATTATGCAATTATGGAAGACACAGGCCTGCCACACCATAGTATTCTAGAAAAAGTACATCTCCAACTTAAAATGCATGTGAGTCTTATGAAAATGCAAATTCTGATTCAGGAGGTCCAGAGTGGGGCCTGAGTGTCTGCATTTTTAACAAGCTTCCAGCTATTGTTGATGCTGCTGCTCCTGGGCCCACCCACTGGCAAGATTCTGATCTGGATCATTCTTAAGTATCTATAGTAATAGAAGGTAAGCAAGAACACAGATAAAGCAGCAGGTATCCAAAATGCATTTTGAATTGTTATGCATTGTCTACTTTATATTTAGCTGACTTATTCACAATTCTATGTGATTAAGACCAATGTTAAAATAAACTTGCATCCTCTGAGCCCACAGCAGCAGATGGACAGGGTTAGGAGAAAGCCAGTTGGGATAATCAATTGTTACTCAGACAACTGTGCCAGCAGCAGCTTCAGACACTATCCTTATACCGCACTGCCCAGAGAAGAAATCCCTTTAGGGAGAACTGACTCCAATGGCCAGCTCCTGCCAGGCTCCTGGAGAGGCCAACATGGCAGGAATTGGAGTGACCCAAGAATGAAGTGATAGAATTAGAGGCAAGAGTGTTGAATTCCTGCAACAAGCAGGATGTAGATTAGGAAGCCCCTTGTTTGGTAAATTTGGGCATAATCCACAAAGGGCTTATTTGGATTACATCAGTTTTATATGCACTCATTTGTATGAGTATGTTTAGTTCTATGCAGTTTTATCACAGTGTAAATCCATGTGACTACCTGGGTGACCCCAGGTAGTAGTAGCATCTTCCTCGCTAAAGAGTGCTCATGATGCCTGTTGTCTGCTCAAGGTGGTAATTACAGGGGTACAAGAGCATAAAAAACTTTGCTGGGCTGGAAAGATGATAAAAAGAGGTTTATGGCTAGCCATGCCTTGTGATGCACTGAATGGGTCTGATCCTGTGGCCTCTGGCTCCCCCTGGAGAGAGGGGTGGCTACAGGCAGGGCCCTTCTGTCTCTGCAGGTGCTGATTCTCCTGTACATCGCAGACTGGATGGTGCACTGGATGTGGGGCCGGGGCCTGGACCCAGACAACTTCTCCATCCCGTACTTGACTGCCCTGGGGGACCTGCTTGGCACTGGGCTCCTAGCACTCAGCTTCCATGTCCTCTGGCTCATTGGGGACCGAGACACGGATGTCGGGGACTAGCTTGGTCATTCAGCCTTTTCCCATCCCTCTGCACTTTCTATTTGAAATTTTTCTTTTGTCACCCTGTCCCTACCCATGCCACACTCCCACCTCTTTCTAGGACTTCACTTTGATACCAAATTCTCATTATTTTCAATGGGAATTTTTATACATTGAGCCAAGTTTGTACAGCAAGAATTCAGGAAGGACAGATGAACTGAGAGAAGCAGTTTAAGTAGATTTTTGAGACAATCACCAAGTGCAATTTCATGGTGGGTGCCTCCAGGTGAGGTGGATTGAGGCAGGGGGCTCTGAGATCTGGGGACTTTTAGTTTGGCTTTAACAATCTGTCTTAGCCCTAATGAGAAACCCTTTGTGAGTGGGCTCTGGTTTTTTGGCTTTGTTTTCTTTTTTGTTTTGTTTTTGGTTGAACAGAGGAGCAGAATAATAAGTAACACTCCCAAACACACACACACACACCCTTTTGTAGAAATGGACCAACTTCAAAACCCTGAGTAAGTTGGGCTCGGTGGCTCAGCCTGTAATCCCACGCCTTGGGAGGCTGAGGTGAGTGGATTGCCTGAGCCCATGGGTTCGAGACCCGCCTGGGCAACTTGGCGAGACCTCATCCCTACAATAAATTTAAAAATTAGCCAGGCGTGGTAGTGCACGCCTGTAGTTCCAGCTACTTGGAAGGCTGAGGCGGAAGGATCGCTGGAGCCCAGCAGGTCAAGGCTGCGGTGGCTGGGAGCAGCCACTGCACTCAAGTCTGGGCGACAGAGTGAGACTCCAACTCAAAAAAAAAAAAAAAACCCTGGGCAGAAGACAGTTGCTCCAGGCCCCCAATAATTTGGGGTCTATTCGCTGTCCTCTGGAATTAGGCCTTCCTGCTCTCAGAAAGAGTAAGGTGTACTGACTATTCAGTTACTCAGTTTGTGCACATGCCTCTTGCCCGATTACCTGATGAGCATCACCAGTCACTGCCTCAGATTGTTTCCAGTTGATTGTCACATTCAGAAAGAAATGAACAGCGGACTAGTCTCCCTGTTGGCCCATGTCTACCCATAGGTTTCCCAAGATCCACATTCTCCCAGAGCCCAGGAGACTGATTCTTTGTCCCTGTTCAAATTTTGTCTCCAAGCACTACCTTCCCCAAAACTTGCCAGGTTGGGTTCAAGACTAGGGACAGATCATGGGTACATGAAGAATGATTTGGAGGTTGAGGGCAACTAGAAGTGTTTCATTGCTGCTGCTTCTCCTGAAGACATAATCACTTGGTCACCTTGGACTCTGTCACTTCCTCAAATCACTCATTCTGTCATGACATGGAGGTCAGTTTTCCTCTCTCCTGGCTTCTGCCCACAAAAGTTCATTATTAATTCATTTGCTCATTCAGAAATATGCAGCTCTCCCCCCACCCAAGATGAGCTCCTCTGCAGGCATGATCTAAAACATTCATTGAGTGATATTTATTGAGTGCCTACTATGAGTTAGGTACTGTGCCAGGCACTGATTAGCCAGTGGGAAGGGAAACACAGCTCTAACCTCATCTCAATCCCTAGGTTGCAAAGGCCATGTGCCCCTTTCAATCTGGCAGAGAAAGTTTCCTCATTGTCAGTATTTGCATCTACTTCAAGCCAGATCCTTCTGCCTCTTTCTCCTTCCTAGATCCCAACTCTGTGCAATGCTGATCACAGCTAGAGCCACCAGCCCTATTGTTCAACCAATGTCGATTTCCATAAGTTCCATTTCCTCACCATCCCTTCCTTCCACCTCTCACCAGGCACCCAAAAGAGGAATTAGAACTAGCAGGCTGGACATCAACTGGTTGCCTTGACTATTCTCTGCCTAACACAAAATTGGGAGAAAACTGGAGCCTCTGCCTCTTCCCCACACAGCTCAGAAACCTGTCCACACTCACACGTGTATACATCTGGGCATTTGGGTGTAGGTTCTTTGTTTGTTTTTTTAGCCTTTCTGTCAAAGCCTCCCCATTAATCTTTCACTTTGTCGCCTAAAGGGCCCACCTCCAAGGGAAGACTTAGGCAATGACCCTGTCTGTACCAGTACTAGGCCTTATCCCAGGAACTTGCCCTAGAGCTCTAGAGATCATCTTTTCTCTCCCCCCATTTCCACCCAGGCCACCTTCTGGAATCATAGAACCTTAGAATTGGGAGAAATCGTAGAGGTTATTTAGTTGGAGTTGTGTCCAACAGAGTTCATTAACACCAGCCTGGGCTTGTTTTTGGTCTTCTGGACTTTTCATCATTTTCTCCACCTCAAAACACACTTGCACACAGACTCTTCTTGTACAGGCACCAAAGCCAACTCCTCCACTCCTGAGGCTATACACCGGTGATCTCCAGCCACCTCCCTGCAGTCACCCACTCCTTCCTCATTTTCGGAGTTTGGCCAGGTAGTCCTGGAAGACTCTGGAGTGTCCTCCTTTGCCTAAAAAACAGAAAGGTAGGCATGCTCCAGGACCTGAGTGTGAGCAGAGAAGGACTGTGGGGTGAGAGGGAAAGAAAATGAAGTTGACTTTCATGGAAAATTCGTTTCTTTTCCCCTGATTGTACCAACTGCATGTACTTTTGGCCTGGCTGCAAGGAGCAATATTGGTTTACTCTTGTATCCTTAAAAAGTTACAGAACTTGTCTTAAAAGAATTATTTATAGCTACTATAACTGAATTGACAGATGTCAACTTAACTGATAAATTATATTTGGTAAAATAAAGAGGACGTTTATTTAGACGGCTGGTGGTTCCTGTGTCTTCATCAATAAGCAGCTTCAACTGTTTTCTTGGGCCTCTCTGCAGTCCCACCTTCTCCTTTCTCAGAAGTGGAAAGGGACCAAAGTGTGACAAGGCATGGAACACTTCTTAAATAGAGATTGTGTGATAGAAGACACGTCATCAGTCACTTTTTTTTTTTAGTTAGAGTCTCTTTCGCATAGCCTGGAGTGCAGTGGCACACACACTTACGGCCACCACATCCTCGACCTGCTGGGCTCGGGGAATCCTTCTGCTTCAGCCTTCCAAGTAGCTGGAACTACAGGCACACGCCATCATGCCTGGCTAATTTTTTTATTTACTGTAGAGATGAGGTCTCACCAAGTTTCCCAGGCTGGTCTCAAGTCCATGGGCTCCGGCAATCCTCTCACCTCAGCCTCCCAAAGTGCTGGGATTTTAGGCGTGGGCCACCGCACCCAGCCTGTCAATCACTTATTGAGGCACAATCTGTGGTGCTCTGAGACACATTCCAGAAGCCAGATGCAGGGTCCTTGCTCTCCAGGAGGTTATATGCTGGTTTCCACACGTGAACTCAACCTCAGTGGGTGTATTGTGCTAGGAGTATGAGCATTTATTTATGGGTTAAGATTTCTTCCTTGCAGGGCCTTACAATCTGGCTTAAAATAACAGTGGCTATTATTTGTTGAGTACTTACTGTGTGCCTTCACAGTGCTCAACCCTGTTAGCCCTTAGAAATTTACAATTGACTACAAAGAATTTGATGTCAGGCCTAGGTTCAAATCCCAGCACTTCCGCTAGTGTTTGTGTAACCTTGAGCAGGTCATTTACCTTCTCTGAGTTTCCTGCTCTGTACTAATACCTATTTCATAGGATAGTTATGAGACTGATGGGATAATAAATGTGAAACACTAAGCTCTGTGCCTGGTACATTCTAAACCCCAAAATCCTAATGAGTACTAAAGTAGGGCAGAGGGGAAAGCCCTTGACTAGGTAATGTCATTACACCGACCATGAGAGTAAATCAAGGGTGGCTTAGGGAGCAGGCAGATGCAAAGGGCACCTCATCAATTCCTGGAAGTCAAGGAAATCTTGGAGGAAACTGAGAAGACTAGAAATTAGCATAGCAGAAAGTGGGAGAGAAAGAGCCCTCCTGCAGAGGGAACAATGAGCTGAGTAAGGAAGAGAGTCTTATGCTTTTGGAAACTACAAATAGTTCTGTATGGATGGAGTTGGGAGTGCAGAGGGTGATCGCACAACCTTACAAGCTACAATTTTTTGTTTTTTTAAGTCGCGACAAAGTTTCACTCTGTTGCTCAGACTGGTCTCCAACTCCTGTCCTCAAGCAATCCTCTCGCTGTGGCCTCCCAAAGTGCTAGTATTACACGTGTGAGCCACCACATCTGGCCTACACATTTGTGACAAAGCAATTTTTCTGAGATGACGGATATAAAAGAGTAGAGTCAGAAAGCAGTCCCTGGTCTGTCTGACTACGAAGCCTATGCTGGGAACCACTGCCCACCCAGGACACATCCTCACAGGTTATGTCACAAAAGTATATATTATATCCTGGGTGCTGAACATTGACCAGTCTCAGAAATAGGCCTTTACAACAGCCTATGCTCTAGTACTAACTATTCAAAGCAGCAATATGTTAATAAGGCTATTAAGAGTTAATGGAGCCGGGCTCGGTGGCTCAGCCTGTAATCCCGCGCCTTTGGGAGGCTGAGGTGAGTGGATTGCCTGAGCCCGTGGGTTCAAGACCCGCCTGGGCAGCGAGACCTCATCTCTACAATAAATCAAAAAATCAGCCGGGCGTGGTAGCGCATGCCTATAATTCCGGTTACTCGGAAGGCTGAGGCGGAAGGATCGCCAGAGCCCAGCAGGTCGAGGCTGCGGTGGCCGGGAGCGGCCACTGCACTCCAGCCTGGGCAACAGAGTGAGACTCCAACTCAAAAATAAAAAATAAAAATAAAAGTTAACAGAGGATAATTGCTTGTTAATTATTATTTATATAGTGTCTTACAGTGCAGTTTATTGTACTACACAGTTTACTTTAAAATAATAACAGACTCATTTACAATTTCAATATTACCTTTAATAACTCTATGAGGGCCGGGCTCGGTGGCTTAGCCTGTAATCCCAGCACTTTGGGAGGACGAGGCGAGAGGATTGTCTGAGCCCGCAGGTTCAAGACCCACCCAGGCAACTCTACAATAAATCAAAAATTAGCTGGGTGTGGTAGTGCACACTTGTAGTTCTGGCTACTTCAAAAGCTGAGGCAGAAGGATCACAGAAATCCAGCAGGTCAAGGCTGCAGTGGCTAGGAGTAGCCTGGGTGACAGAGTGAGACTCCAACTCAAAAAAAAGAAAAAGAAAAAAAACTCTTATGAGATAGATATCAACGTTTTTTGTTTTTGGCTTGTTTGTTTTGTTTTGTTTTGAGCTAGAGTCTCACTCTGTCACCCAGGCTAGAGTGCAGTAGCAACGCTCACAGCCACCACAGCCTTGACCTGCTGGGCTCTGGTGATCCTTCCACCTCAGCCTTCCAAGCAGCTGGAACTACAGACATGCGCCACCATGCCTTGCTAATTTTTTTATTTATTGTAGAGACGAGGTCTCACCAAGTTGCCCA